GTAGCGTCCCCTGTATCCCCTGGTTTATGCCTGTTATGTTCCCAGTACTGTTCTCTCATTAAAAGGTATATGGTTAAGTCCCCATTGGTGATCTGGCTGTACTCTGTAGGGGGAGGAGAGTCCCTACACCTCCCACAGCGCTTGTGCACCTGCTTTGATCCCTTCAATTGGAGAGGGGGTACCTCTTGGAGTACTGCCCAGGTTACACTAGCTAAGGCTTTGTCCAGCCAGGTCTCTAAGGATGCAGCATCCACAACCTCCCTGGGTAGCCTCTTCTGCTTTACTACCCTCCTTGTGAAAAAGTTCTTCCTAATATCTAACTTAGGTTCAATAAGGATACATGCCATGTCCTGGACTTAGGGTGGAACAATCCCATGCAGACTGAGGGCAGTGATTCTTCCCCTCTATTTAGCACCGGTGAGGCCATATCTGGAGTCCTGTGTCCAGTTTTGGGCCCCCAGTATGGAAAGGAGGTGGACACGCTGGAGAGAGTCCAGTGGAGGGCAATGAAAATGGTTAAGGGGCTGAGGGACATGACTTGTGAGGAGAGGCTGAGGGAACTGGGTTTAATTAGTCTGCAGAAGAGAAGACTGAGGGGGGGATTGAATAGCAGCTTTCAGCTCCCTGCAGGGCGGTTGCAAAGAGAATGGAGCTGGACTGCTCTCAGTGGTGGCAGATGACAGAACAAGGAGCAATGGGCTCCAGTTGCAGACAGGGAAGTTGAGGTTAGATATTAAGAAAAACTCTAGGAGGGTAGTGAAACACTGGAACAGGTTACCCAGAGAGGTGGTGGAATCCCCATCCTTGGAGGGTTTTAGGACCTGGCTAGATAAAGCCTTGGCTGGAATGGTGTAGTTAAGGCTGGTCCTGCTTGGAGCAGGGGGTTGGACTAGATGTGACCCCCTGAGGTCCCTTCCAGCCCTCATTTTCTATTTTCTACAGTTCTATAAACCTCCCTTGCTGCAAGTGGAGCCCATTGCTCCTTGTTCTGTCATCTGCCCCCACTGAGAACAGTAAATGCTTCAAACCCATTGACCCAGGGAAGGTGCACTGACTAGGAAGTGAACCCAGGACTCCTGCATGGACGGCAGGAATCTGTCACTGACCAACCAATACCTAAGACAGGTCCAAGGAGCAGCCTAGCTCACGGCATCCACAAGGACCTCTTGGCCTCTGCAGAGGCATGGGGTCCAGAGATACCAGAGTAGCATAAGCCTCTACACTGATACATGGAAACACCGGTGACTGTCATGTCAGGCCTGCGGGCGCATATATGGGGACCTTGTGACTGATACAAAGGGAAAATCCACTTGCAGAAGCCAATGGCCAATGGGGCCAGGGTGTTGCCTGCAGTCACTTCCATCCCAGATGTCCTGGCTGTGAAATTCCTAATCAGAAGCAGGTGGCTGCCCTGGCAGGTGGCGATTCCAGGCCTCTTGGCTACAAACTCCCAGTTGCAATTGCGGTTCTTTCTGTGATGAGCTGGCTCCACCTTGCTGTATCAGTGAATAACTCAGAAGAAGCCACAAACTGATGCTCAAGCATGATTCCTGTGAACAGTATATTGCAGCGGTGCACTGGAGCTCTGTGAATTGAAACTCTTGGTAGAGGTGATATATTTTATTAGACCAACTAGATAGTTGCAAAAAAAAATCTTTATTTGAAAGTTTTTGGGCACACATGCAAAGTGTGAAAGCTTTCAGGCATAGGAGAGTACAAAGATTGTAAAATTTCATCTAGGTGGAAATGAAATTCATATTCATATGGGACTCTGTTCTTGGCACTGTACACCCCTAAAAAGAGACGGTCTCTCCCCTCAACTCAGCAAAGTTCCTTCCAAACTAGGGCAAGAGCAGGAGGGGAAAAAGGCATAAGACAGGAAAGGGTGTTTGCTAAGACCAGGAGCAAGAACCTGCAATCCCGGCCTGTCCCCTGCTTTCCTGGATCACTCAATCTCCCTAACAAACAAAGAGGAAGGGTTGAGGCCTGTTTCCCAACTGACAGACCATGAACTTGGCAGCGCCTGACCCCAAATGTCAAATTCAGCTTTGTTTCCACATGAAAATGGCCATGTGAAGGATAAGGACTGCCCCCTCCTGGCCACAGGGAACGGATCTGCTCTGCCACGCTGGGATGTGATGAGAGATGCATGCACCAACCATAACTATTTGAGGAGGTCTAGTAAAAGACATTGGATTTACCCAAATAACCTTGTCTACCCATGTCCTTAGACCAACATGGCTACAGTCCATCCTCCTGCACCAACCACAGGCAGCTCAGGCATCAGCCCTCCTCCCTCCTTCCATCACCGCCTCCTGCTTCATCCAAGAATGCACAGTCCACTAGCCGTTGTGAAGGCAGGGAAGCCTTAATGCACACACCAGGATGTGGCACAACACCCTGGACTGCCAGGAGGTTGGTGGTGACTCCTTCAGTGGCCAAAAGCCAAGAGCTCCCCTGCCCCCCTGGACAGGAGCTATCACCACAAAGACACAGCCTGACCCATGATGCAGGTGGGTTCTCCTGTGTTTCTGACTGGGGTTTGACCTCCCCGTGCCTACTGAGTGCACCTCTGGAGCTGAGAGCCAGGCTTGGCATGGCACCTTTGGGGGCTTCCTGCAGCCTGTTCTCCTAAAAGCCCCCCAGCTTCTCTGCTTCTGGGTCCTCTGGCCCATCACCCTGCAGTGAGCTGGAAAGCGAATGGCTGGGCTTGGGATACTGCAAGGAGCATGTCTCTGGACCTTGCACCCCAGTCCCTGCCCCAGCCAAGCAGCAAAGCCAGAACCAAGGGTGCCTTGTACCCCCATACTGCCCACGGGACAGGCATACGCATGGCTTCCACCACTGGGCAGGTTGGTCTCGGTGCCTCAGTACCCTCTGGTCCAGTTATGGCTCTTGTCTGAGCACCACAGGTTGGCCAGCACCTTGGCTGAGCCTGGTCCCCATCCCACTGCCTCCCCATGAGCTGGCCTGGTGCATTGCTTCTCTGGGCCCGTCGTCTCCAATTCCATACTGAGATGCTTTCCTGTCATGCCAGACGCAGGGACCCCTCTGTGCCCGGTGCTGGACAAGCCCTGGACCATGCAAAAGGTAAGACACAAGACCCAAAGCAGGCCCAAACAGAACAGTAACACCCAAGGGGCACACGTGTCAGGGCCAACTCACTGCCACTGCCAATGTATTGTATGCCCAACAGTCATCGAGTTACAGGCATCAATGCAAAACAGGACAGAGAGGGAAAGAGAGAGGGATGGAGTGCGGGAGTGATGGAGGGATGAGCTGCTCTGCCCCAGGTTCGTTGCACTGCACTGTGCCCTGGAGGCAGCTGTGGCTGGAGCTCCCCAAGTCACAAGCGCCCTCGGAAACCAGAGCATCTGCTATCAACCCTGGGATCTTGCACCAGCATCATGGTCCAGCCTGGGAAACACTGCAGTGTCTCAGGCCCATGGTCACCAGACCCAGGATGATGTGCAATTGGCCAGAGCCCGGCATAGCATGAGCCTCCTGCAGAGCCGCAGCTGTTGCTCATTACCCTCCTACCCCCCAGCTGCTACAACATAGAGGCAGAGATGCAGAGGACATCAGGGCAGCCAGGGCATCCTCTAGCCCAGCCCAGCCCTAACCCTGTACCGCAGCCCCGGCAGCTTCAGGCATGCCCCCCTGCATTACCAGGTCCCAGGTCTCAGCCCTCCAGCCTCCTATGTGAGCTCAGTGCCAGAACAGTGAGGGGCTGAGGTTTCATAGTTTCATAGTTTCTAGGGTCAGAAGGGACCTGAGCAGATCACTGAGTCCGACCCCCTGCCACGGCAGGAAAGAGTACTGGGGTTAAACGACCCTGGCAAGGTGTTCATCCAGCCTCCTCTTAAAGACTCCCAGGGCAGGAGCCAGCACCACTTCTCTTGAAAGTTGGTTCCAGATCCTAGCCGCCCTGACCGTGAAGTCGCGCCTCCTGATATCTAGCCTAAATCTACCCTCTGCCAGCTTGTGACCGTTATTCCTGGTCACTCCTGGCAGTGGTCGGGGGAACAGGGACTCCCCCAATGCTTGCTGGTCCCCTCTGGCTAGTTTGTGACAGGCCACTAGATCCCCTCTCAGCCTTCTCTTGTGGAGGCTGAACAGGTTCAGGTCC